TTATAAACTGCCATATGTAGAAATGTCATACTGTTTTTCAAATGCTAGTTACCATTCCGCATACATACCATGGAAGAATTGTCACCAATGTCAGATAATCTGAGACAAAATTCAAGCTCTTCAAAAAGTCGATCCACTTCCTTCTCGAATTCTGATTTCTCCGGCGGCGGAGGTGGATCTTCGTCTTCGAATCGGAACTTCAAGGGCAGCTCAGCTGGTGGATTTATTTCTCCACTGCGATCATTGCATCTGGAAGAAACTAACTCTTCCAATTGTGAATCTCCATTCTCCCAGATTGAATTTTCAAGAATCTTGACAATGTCGGGCTTCCCCAACTTCCTCAAAACTCTTTTGCCCTTTTTACAACCTTTCCACACAGCTTTCAAAATGCTGGCGTTATGTGAGCAAGTGTTCCCATCAATTTTAATGAATTTGTCACCATCAGGATTCACATCACTCTCATCATCTTGCTCAGAGGAAGAATTGTTCTCCTCATCCTCATCAACAGAAAGTGGACGGCTAAAGGTTCCCAGCTTTAGCAGCTTCTTTTGAGATTCAGAAAGAACACTTCGTCGAAGCCGGCCTGCCATGCCTTTACGCTCCTTGGAAAAATCTGATTCAAAAACTTTTTTTCTCTTTAACCCCCCCTCCCTTCTCTCCTTTCCCTCCCCATCAGCACTTCCTGCCTTCCCAGTGCTACTGCCATTTCCATCTTCACCCTCATCATTCATGCTATAGGAACTGGACTGCTCCAAACTAACTGCACAATAGGAATTGACTTTTCTCCTTTTTCCATCCTGTACCATTTTTCCTTTCCCCTTTGCATCAACTCTTTCTCTCTCCATAACTCTACATTCATCTTTATCTTCATCATCATCATTTGCATTAACCTTTTCCCTCCCCATACCTGTACATTCTTCTTCTTCTTCATCACCACAAGAACTCGTCTCATCTTCATCATCATCACCACAATAACTCGTCTCATCAGAACTCGTCTCATCTTCTTCATCATCACCACAATAACTCGTCTCATCAGAACTCGTCTCATCTTCTTCATCATCACCACAAGAACTCGTCTCATCTGCTTCATCATCACCACAAGAATTCGTCTCATCTTCTTCATCATCACCACAAGAACTCGCCTCACTCCCATCACCACCAACAGCAATTTGAACTACGTTCTTGCTTTCCTCCAATCTCTTCAATTCCCTTGTTTTCTTCTTCAACTCAGCCTCCAATCTCTTCAATTCCTTCCGTTTCTCATCCAAATCACCACCATTTTTCCCAATTTTCTTTGCTTTAACTTTAATTTCACACTCATTCTTGATTTCATTGAAACCCTTTTCTAGTTCCCCATTTTCAACTCTACACTTACTTCTCTTCAAATCAATTTTGGACTTGACCTTCTTCAACCCTGGACTCTCTCTCTCGGTATCAACAGAAACGTGAACTTCTCTATCACCTAAATTCCCAAAACCCTCAACCCTAGGCTTAGCCCTATCATCTCCATCAGATTTTTTCTCTCTCTTCTCACTACTCTCACTCAAAGACAAACCACTCCCTCCAGACTTAGCCTTCTTTTTTTCCTCAATGTATCGTCTAAAAGAAAGATTCTCCTGAAAACGCGTTCGCTTCGCTACTGGCATTTTGGTATAATCCATCGGTCAACATCCAAACCACCGATCCTTCTGTAACAGATTAAACAAAAACAGAGCACACGTCACTGAAAATCGAATCATATATATAAAAACAAAAATAGATATATAGAGAGAGAAAGATACGCGTAGAGAGAGAAAGGGGAGTGTCGCATGCGTTACATGGGAGAGAACGACCGAGTTTTTCGACGAGAATGTGGAGAGTTGCAGCGGCCAGAGAGAGCTAGAGAGACTGTCTAATCAAGGGAGAGATAAAACAGAGAGGTGATTCTAATATGTCCAAAAGTTTACCTTCTCAAAATAAATAAAAATGTCTTAAGTAGGTAGGTAACGAAAAGGGCGCGAAGAGCTCATGCAAGGAAGTGGAAAATGGTACCAAGGAATCGGCGATTATTTGGATACTATTACAAGTTTACAAGTGTCGCATTTTGATTAAGGGCTAGTTAGTACCAAAACTACCCTCATTTATGACACTTGAATTTTTTTAAATAAAGTTGTCATAAATATGGTAGTGCTTCTCTGCTAACTACTTATCATTTGAAATAGGGAGTGATTGAACAATTTTTTTTAAAATATTTTATGCGACACTTTGTAATGTTAGCAAATTTTGTTACGTGACAACATTAAAGATCAAGTACCTTCTTAATCTGGAAGTCTGAGACTCGAGATAAACAAAAATACAACTCCATCATTAATGTTGTTATGTGACAACATTAACAAATTTTGTCCAATCACATTAAATTACGTGACAACATTAAAGATCAACATTGAAGTGACCGGACAAAATTTTGTAGATTTTGGGGACAAAATTTTGTAGATTTTGGAATCAAAATTTAATGATGAAGTTGTATTTTTGTTTATCTCGAGTCTCAATCTTTCAGAATTAAAGTACAAGTGTTTCTTATCATAAAATCTGTTGAGATAAATATTAAAGATCAAGTATGTGAAGAAGACACATTACACTTCTATGTTTCCGATTTAAACCAAATCAATTATACTTTTCTCAGGTTTTAAACCGCTCTCAGCCAAAACACAACTGGTTGCGTTTTAAATAAAAATCTGATGCATTCTATACATTAAAATTTAGCTCTCAATCAAAACAGAACCAGTTATATTTGAAATAGAAAGTGATATGGACAATTTTTTTATAATATTTCATGTGACAATCTTAAAAAAAATAGAAAGTGATATGGACAATCATCTCCATCAGATTGTTTTATCCCAGTATCATGCCTGGACCCCACATAATTTTTACAAAACTACTTAATATAGGGTTGATTCGTTAATCGAATAAGAAAAAAGGAGAAGAAAGGAAATATGCTGATGTGGCTGTCTAAAAATAATTTTACACTAATGACGTAGATGTGTATCTTAACGGACTGTTAGAGATAAAAAAAATAAAAATAAAAAAATAAAAAAATAAAAAAAATAAAAAAATTAAACATCATATGTGGCCGTGTATATTTTACACAAAAGAGTATTTTAAGAAACTGCTGGAGATCCTCTTATCTGGAAAACAGAAATTTTTAAAACTTTATGAGGGATTTTCAAATAAAGATCTTGATTCATGTGTAAAGACAAGTTTTATGCACGAAGAATATGATGATACATTCAAATTAGGGATAGAAAACTTACATCAAAGTTTGAGTAAATCTTAAATCTCTCCTCTAAAGTGAATGTTCTCATTTATTGTAGATCCCTTTGCTAGATGCCTCCTCCTTGGATCTCCATCTTCTTGGTAATGATCTTGTCTTTAGAAATCACCAATATACCTCGACAAATGACCTTGGAGGCAGGGCTTGCGGTAGCCTCCTTTAGAAGAGAAAGCAAACCCTAAAAACTAGAGAGAGAAAATATATTCTTTTTTCTTCTAAAAGTCTCACTTAAAATATACATGGATTCATGTATATACAGGCAATATAAAGATAAGGAAAAGAAACAATAAATCATTCTCAATCTCTAATTGATAGATTTCAATTCTAATAGGACTCCAATATCAACTTGGGCTATGGGTGAGAATCCTTTGGGCTTACTATTTTCTTGGCTATTATAAATTAATAATTGATCTAATCCATTAAACCATGAACTCAATTCAATTAATTCATAAATTAATTTCTACTCCACTAAAAGAAATTAATTGCACTCCAATTAAATAGTAAATAACCTCTAAGTCAATGTTACACTTTGACCCATCTATGCATAATTATTTATCGGATTATAAAGCCATCAATCCGGCAACATAATTAATATAATTATTTTGTTATCTTTGATTATTTCAAGCTTGATCACAATAAAATATTTGTTTGACAAAAATAATAATTTAAATAAATAAATATATAATAAATCATTTTGTCTAAAAACACATGAAGGCCTTCAAATTTACTTTGTGATCAACCATAATCAATACAAAATAAATACAAGTAGTAATGATGTAAATATTGAAAATATAACCCTCTAACTATTAATTACATAATTACACAAAGTGACGGTCTATGGATTCCTGTAATGATCCGGTCATTTTTCTTCCTTTTCTTTTTCTCAGATTTTAACGGATATTTATTTTTTTCCGTTATCTTTTCCTTTTTGGGTTCGGTTTTTTATTACTTGATGTCGTCTCGAGTGCTCTGGAATGATTTCCGAGACTCTTTTCCTTGGATTGACAACTTCCTTTGGGGATTGTGTCATTTCCATATTTTATTTTTCCGAACACTATTCACATTTTGTCTTTTTCTCGTTTATCCTTTTTCCTTGCACAACCTCACTTTTTGTACTCGGATTTGATTCCGGTTTTACATGCATTCATGATATTTGATTTCCATAATAGTGGTATTTTTACTTTTCTAGAAAAGCATGTTGATTGCTTATTTCTTTCATAAAGGGGCATTAATGCATACTTTAGTGTAATTATTCTTAACTTGTGGGGTTTTAGAGTAATTATTTTTCATCTTGGAGACTATTTTGCAATTAAATTTGAAAGATATTTTTAAAAAGGACCTTTTTGCAATTTTTGAAAAGTGTGACAAGTGTCACACTCTCATTGGTCCACTTGTTGACATTTGTGTGGAAACACTTTAATGCATTGGATGATGACATTTAGAGGGTGAGGATTCACCCACTAGTTGGCCTAGGATTGGTGCACTTGTTGGCTTGGATGGTTGACAAGTGTAGGTGTGGGATTAAGCCTAGGAAGGAGCCATGGATTGGTGACAAGTGTAGGTTCACAATTTAGTCTTGCAAATATCTTTGGGCCACTTTGGGATTATGGTTTTAAATGAGGGTTTTTGTGTAATTGACCATAGATGTGTGTGTTGACCATGGTGTAAGAGCACATAGTGAGTGGAGGATTTCTATTTCCTCCACTCACACTTAACCACATTATTTCATTCTCTTCCTTACAAGAAAACCCTAGCCTCCATGGATGAAGCTTAAAGTCTTAGGCATTGACCTTGATCTTTAAGGCCCTTCCACTTACTTTAGACCATAAAGTTTGGAATACTTTTTATTCCCCTCATCCTCCTCTTCAAAACCCTTGAAGGATCTAGCCTAACTCCTAGTTTTGCTTTGGTATCTAGAGATTCTATTCTCTAGTGAGGTATTGATCTATTATTTTGAAGTATTTTTATGTCATTATTGAGTGTTTTACATGCATGGAAGAGAAGGACTAGTATTTTGCCCTTAAATTGTTTTAACTTGAAATTAATCTTGTCAAATTAAATATAGAATATGAAAATATACTCAATTAGCTTTCATTTAGTTTTGGTTTCATGTAATTTGGATTTAAAATGAATTAGTTATGAATTTTTAAAGTTGCAAGCTAGTTGTTGGAAATTTGAAGCTTTTCCTTTTCGGTCTGGAAATGAATTTTTATATGGAGTTATGGTGCTTCAATTGCCTTGAAATTTTTACTAGAACTTCCCCCATGGGTTTTACATGACTCAGAATTTTTTCACGATTTTAGAGCATTTCTAAATTTTTTTTAAAATCCGAAACTATCTGCTGTCCATGTTTTTATTGCAGCTGGAAAACATATTTTTAGATGATTTATTTCACTAACATTTTGACATTGGATCATGGCTTAAATTTCCAGTTTTACACTCTCATATGTTTATTTCCAAAATAAATTAGGTTTGCCAAATTTGGATGTCAAATGAATTTTTTATGAATTTTCAAAGTTGGAAGCTACAGGCTGAAAATGTGTTTTCTGGGCAGAATTTGTTTCAAAGTTGTGAGTCAAAACTGTTTCAATTGGGAAAATATTTTGTTAAACTAAATTAATATTATCAAATTACAGTATTTATGCTTTCATTGGGCTTTGGATTCATTCAATTTGGGTTAGAATTGAATTTTTTATGAATTTTACAAGTTGAAGGAAGCAAGCTGAAAAATTTGTTTTGCAGACCGAAAATTTGGGGCGATTTCATTTTAGTGGTAATTGGGATTTTCATTCCAATTGAGGTAGGGAATGTTTTAGGATTATTTGTGTGTTGTGTTGTGTGTTTGCCATGATTATACAACATATATGTATGCCTTGTATCAAATTTAGGAAGTTAGTAATTTTTATTTCTTTGTATAAGATTTAAAATTTTTGATGATGTATAACTTTGATTTGAATTGTAACATGTTAGGAAATTATGTTTAGATATGTTGGTTAACATATATTAAATTTGAATCATTTGATTAAGAATTACAACTTTTATTTAATATTTATCTTTAGTGAAAATTTAATTCATATGGTTGTATCAAGCATTAAATCAAGTTGTAATGTGGTATTTAAATAGGCCTTGGCATGTTCTCTAACATAGATTAAATTGAGGGCATTTGGAATTGTTTAAAAATCTAGAGGAAATTAATTAATTAGCTTGATTAACTTTGTTTTAAGTGTTTTAATCACTTAACTTGTCATTTGATATTATATATATGATGACCATGACATGTCTTTCAATATATATTAAATTGAGGTTATTTGAATTAACTTGGAATTTAGAGAATTTAACTATTTATGTTTAATTAAATTCTATTTTATTACTCCATGGATTTAATTGCATTTTGGAAGTTATTTCTATATTTAAATTATGAATTTGGATTTAATGTATGTTCACTTGATTACTTTTGAGCATTGGATAACATAATTGTTACTTTTATATTCATGAGAATATGTTTTTCCTTATTGAATATATTGTTGCTATGTGTAAGGAATTGCACACTTTGTATTTGACATCTTACATGCCATAGTAGTTGTGAATTTTGAGCATGAATTGTATAAGTTTCCAAAATTTGGATTGTGCTCGGTAAATAGTTGATATCTTGTATATACATGTTGATATATATACGTTGTTGCACAATTTGTTGATTTTGGAAACTTGGGGATGTCATTATTTGGGTACGGCTAGGACTTGGTTCTAGTACGGGGGATTATCCCTCTATACAGTCTAGTGCGCACATAGGGAGGTTACCCATGAGCTAGTAACCCTAAAGTAACTATGTTGTCGGTCTGATCCGGCGTGACGTCCGAGTATCTACTTTGTTTGATTTCATATTTCATTTCAAGTTGATAACTAGATGATATCGTAACTTGTTATTCCTTATTTGATTTCCTATTTTGAGCTTAAGATGTAGCTTTGTGAAAGCATGCTTCATGCGTTGTATTGGAAGTTCCATTGTTGGTTAAATTGCATCGATATCATAATTTGTGTTTTGATGTTCAAATGTAGTTTAGGAATGACCTTATAGATTCATTTTGAACATAGACGTTAGGTGGCATGACCCACTCTTGTTGTTTTCGTATTTTGGATTTCGAGTTGTAGACTTAGAGAATCTATGTCTTGTTGCCTTGTATAACATGTTTCCATGTTGTTTGAATTGCATGAATAATGTGATTATGATATAAATGATCTACGTAGCTTACGATGCTCCCTAGGTCTCATCTTGACATAGACGTTAGGTGGCATGAGCTCCTTTAACATGTTTCACCATAAGGTGATAAAATTGTAAAATGCTAGGTCAATGCATGCTCATCTCCTACGAGTAGCTTTATGTTACTCACCCCTACGATACTGGGGCATATTTCAGGTACAGGACTCAGGATTTGAAGATTCCATTGCTCCTTGGATGGCTTATAGTTCTAAGTTTCTATTTTATGCAAGTGTTAACATAAGATGCCTCTTTGTAGCCCTATTTGTTTAAACTTGTATTCGTTGATTCGTATATGTAAAGTGTACGTAAGTGCACTCTTTTCAATGTATTTAACGTGTATGAGATGAGGCCGGAGGCCAATGACATGTATCTCGTTTTCTATGCACTTTTGTTTTCAAAGTTTATTATGAAAATATTGGAAAATGTTAAGTCATTGCTTCATAACTTTCACATCGGGTGTTGGAATTTCATATCTTTTCTGCCCGGACTCAGAATCAGACGATTCTTGAGTCTAATTTTGTTTATTTTTCGTTGTCCTTCCAATGGTGTGCACGGTGGCACCCTTTTCAATGAGAAATGATCATTTTGCCCTTAGTTCATCTCTTTTCGGGTTAGGCATTCTTGCTTCATTTGCTTGGCTCATTTGAGTTCCGTGGCTTCATGGAGAGTCATTTTGGGACCTTAAGGATGACGTACAACTCTTGAGCTCATTTGGCTTCTTTCGCTTTCGCATTTCGGGTCCGTTATCGGGTCAACTTCCGGTTCATCACTAAAGCATCGGGTTGAGAAATCCGAGTTGTTACAATTCCGAAGATTCCACCGAACAAATCAAAGTAATTACTAATTAATAAAATAGTCTATACTTCTCTCATGCTTAAGAGTCAAATGCTATAGCAATGATAGGGAGCAATTGCATACGACGGCTCTCGCAATATATCTCAACCTAACGCAGATCTAGTTTAAATCTTAATTAATAATGAGTCCATCCATAATTACCGACTATGAACAATTAATGAATACTATTTATATTCATGTATTGATCACCATCACATACATATATAAATATCTCTTGTAATCAAGTGGACACTATCAATTCCATAATGAATCGAAACATAATACATTGAATTCACCAATTGTACAAATCATAAATATTTCAGATATATCAGGAATATATATCACTATAATCCAAATAGGAATTTGCTATGCCAGGGCATATATATCCCAACAGCTCCCACTTGCCCTCATAGCCAATTCTAATTGCATCTAACTCCAATGTTATCTAGGCAACGATCAAAACTATTGATTGATGACACCTTTGTTAATGGATCAACAAAGTTGTGTTCCAATGCAATGTTCTAGCCTCGAATACATTTTCTTGCCGGACAATATCATGTAAGACATGATACTTCCTTTCAGTGTACCTTATTTCTCTATGGAACATTGAGTCATTGGTTTAGACTACTTCTGCACTATTGTCACAATATAGCTCGATAGGTAGGCTAGTATGCTCCACAACCTCTAAATCAGTGAGATCAAACCAAAATGTTTCCTTTGCTACCTTTAAGGCTGCAATGTACTCCACCTTCAGGTTTGAGTTAGCAGTTGAAATCCGCTTAACAATCTACCAACTGATTTCCCTTTTATTGAGTGAACATATGCCAAGGCATAGACCTTATAGTATCTACATCTGATTGAAAATTAGAACTCAATAAAAGGGAAATCATCACATCCGTGAATAAGTATGAGATCATTGGTTCTCCTAAGGTACTTTATGATATTTTTCATAACAAACCAGTTATCAAATCCAGGATTAGACTAATATCTACTGACTATCCATACATTGTAGCGGATGTCGTGTCTGGTATAGACCATGGCATTTATGAGACTCCCACATACCTAAGCATATTATTCCAGCCTCATTTTCTCAATCTCTTCTACTAGTCTTGGAAAACTACTTACTTAGAGAGATCAATCCATATCAATAAAACAAGAACTCATTCTTTGAGTTTTGCATACCAAACCTGGTCAAAACTTTATCAATGTAGGATTATTAATATAGCTTACATCTTGAAGATCCTTCATTTCAAAGTAATTGAACAACTACATCTTTACTGATGACAAAACTTTCACGTCATTCTAAATGAGTAGGATGTCATCAATATATATATAGAATTAGAAAAATAATGACATTACCCTGTACACACATAGTTCATTCATTAAGAAATCTTCTGGTATCCTTTTGTAAATTAACTTGTCTTCCATATGTATTACCCTACTAGAAAGTTCTACAAGATCCCATATTTTATTAGAATACATAGATTCCAACTCTGATTTCATAGCAACTTGCCAAAATGATCTGTATCCATATCGGTTCATGCTTCCGTGTAGCTTACTGGGTCCAACTCATGTTTAACAGGAATGTCCATAAAGGTCTCACCTAAAAACCTGATTCTGTCGGATTTGATGATAATCCTCCCACTACATCAATGTATCGATGTAGGAATCTGTGTACTAGATGATGCTATTGACCTTAAGGATTTCATCCAAGGATAATCTAGTTGTTTTGATGATAACAAACCATTAATGGTGTTTAAGGAGTAATTTTTACATTGAGTGTTATATAGATTATTCACATTCAAAGAATGACTTCAATGAAGCTATAAAGATCATTCCAAGTATTCCATTATTCAAGATCACATCAATGAAAGAAATGGATACAAAGAAGACTTGAAGTTGCAAGGAACCAAATGTAAAGTCCATCCAAAGATAGCTTAGAGTACAACAAGCAAGAAAGAAACTCAAAGAAAGAAAGAAAACGAGTCCACCTGAAAGCCTACACGATCATGGACAAAGCATGAAGAAAGGGGTAGATAGGATGGTGAGTGTTTAGGATTCAATGTCAAAGTATTTATGAATCTATTTGAAGCTCATCTCTATAGGACCATGCATATCATATCATCATTCGTATGCTCCTATATCCATTAGCAATTTGTAATGACCTGGTCATTTACCTTCCTTTCCTTTTCCTGAAATTTTACGGATGAATTTTTTCATCCGTTTAATTCTCTTTTCTGAGATCTATTTTTCATCGTTTAGTGTCATCTCGAGTGCTCAGAATTGGCTTCTGAGACTCTTTTGTGTGGATTGACAACTTCCTTTGAGGACCGAGTCATTTTCGCATTTTCACTTTTCGGGATATTATTCACTTATGTCATTTTCCCTATTTCGTCCTTTTCCCTTTTCTGTCTTTTCTCCATTTGCTAGTTTTTGGCACAACCTCACTTTTCGTGCTCAGAGTTGGTTTTTGACTTCATGTGTCTTCATCTTCAGTGGTTTCCTCAAAATACGTATCTTTACTTTTGTAAGAAAGTACTGTGGTTACTCCCGGTGTCCATAGGGGCATGGATACACAATTCTTTGGAATTATTTTCTTTTCTTAGGGTATTTTTCGTAAATATCTTTTGAAGATATTTTATTTCAAGGGTATCTAAGAAAATATCTTTTGGAAGATATTTTCACTCTGGGGTAGTTTCGTAGTTAACCCTTTTTGTAGGGGCCATTGTGCAATTAACGAAAGTTATTGCAAAATGTCTCATCTGGAGCCTGGATCCTTGTACGGGATTCATTTTCATATTTCATCAAGTCATGGACTCTTGGAATTCCGTTCTGGTCGTTTTTCTCCAGTTTCAGAGTTTCTAGACCCGGTTGCCGCCGAACTTGTTCGGGGTATAACTTTCTGCTCGAGACTCAGTTTTTGACGCTGTTTCTTCCGTTGTTCATATTTTCTCATTTTGAATCTTTTTCATTCACGGAGTTTTGCCGTTTGAGCGTGTTTGCTCAAATTTCACTTTTCCGGACCTGGTGGGGCACTTTTTGAGATTTTTATAAAAGGGGGATGAGATATTTCATTTTTCATCTTCCTCACTCCCCTTGCATGACCTGAAGCAGCCATGGAGGTCCATGGAGCTGCCACCTTCTCTCTCCTCCTTTGATTTACTTTTCCTTAGTGAAAAGTCTTCGGCCTTCACGTTTTTTGTTCCCCTCGACGTGTTCTACCATTCCCCCTTATTAGAATTAATTTTTGACCATTTCTTGAGTTTGAGTTTGAAGTCAAGTTGTGATTTTCATGGGGCTTCCTTCGGATTCATGCAAATCGTGTTGTTCCCGACAAAACCCTTCGGTTTCGACGGATTCGGAACACTTTTCTTCCGGTGGGGATTTGGGATTTTCATCTCAAAATTAAGGTAAGGCGTTTTATAATTTACTTTCTTGTTATATTGCATGCTTGTGATACTTTTACAACTTGATTACATTCTTGGATGTAAAATCTAGAGATTTTATTATTTATTTTTCTTGTGAAGGATTTAATTTTTCCGATTGTCCATAATTTTGTTTCAACATGTGGCATGATAGAATATTACTCCTTGATATGTTGATTGACATATATTAAATCTAGATCATTTGGACAAGTATTGAAGATTTTATTTAATATTTATCTTGAATAAAATATTAAATCATGTGGCCTTAACTAGTTTGAAATCAATATATGTTAGCATATTATATTAGGCCTTGGCATGCTCTTCAACATAGGTGAATTTGAGAGAAATTGGAAGTGTTTTGAAATCTAGTAATATTTAATTAATTAGATTAATTAAATTGCTTTAAGTGTACTATTCATCCCGTTGGAATTCCGACTTGAAATTCTTGATGTGCATGGCATGTAGTTTCATATATATTAAATCTAGAATATTTGATTAGGTTTTGAAACATTTCAATTATTATTTTTCTACTATTAAAGTTTAATACACATGGCCGTAACTTGCATAGAATGTACTTGTATCATGCTCTTAAATCAAGTCTTGACATGTTTAGTAACATACATTAATTTGAAATCATTTGGACGAGTTTCAAAATCTAGAGATTTTAATTAAATGAAATAATTAAAATCCATTCAATGGTTCTATGCACTTGATTAAGTTTCTAACATTATATTCATGATTTCCTTGATAAGTTCCTTCACGTGTATTACATTGAGCATAACCGGATAAGTTTTGAAACTTATATTTATTTATTTTCCTTGTATGGGACTTAGCTCTCATGGTTGTGTTGTGTAGGAAATGAACTTGAAACTTGACATTGAACTTGGTCTTGATATGATCCTTGACATAACTTGTTCGTAGAACATTTGGACTTGCCATGTAACCTTGATAATTTAATCCCTCAAGTAGATTAAATTCTCTTTTATGCCTTCCTCGAGTTAATCATGCCTTGATATCATGTATCCAAACTTTTTGTGTCTTAGTTTCATTAATGTGCTTAATGAACATGCTCATTTGTCTTGGAATGATTTAATTACACATGTGTTGTTTAGTATGTAATTGAATCGTGTATCTTATACTTATGGTATATTTGCATCGATGGATTTTCTTGTGCTATATATACCT